AAAAAAAAAAAAAAAAAAAAAGAAGAAGAAGAAGAAGAAGAAGAAGAAGAAGAAGAAGAAGAAGAAGAAGTGACCTTACTACCTTTCAGGTCCCACTTCCAAACATAAAGTGTGCTAGTATGTGAAGCACTCAGAGAGGGGGGAAATCCGAAGTTCAAAACGAAACATGGCAAACATCCAACAGGAAACGGGAAATGGAAAACAAGCAATTTGAAAAATGTTCTCTTTGTGAATCTTTTATTTGGAAACTACGCCGGAGTCAACAAAAAGAGTTTGAAAATAGACTTTGGGCAAAACATAGTTTCAAATTGCGCTTCGGGCAATGTATACATGCTAGCATTCCGGTCAGGTAGGGTTGCGTGCGGGTGTCATACTATGTTCGGGGGAATGCCTGACGTATATTAATTGCAATTTGCAAACTGTTTTTGTGACTGTACTGAAGTTGCCTCGCTGCGTCTTTTAATGTGCTGTGCACTGTGCAGACTTGCTACAGAATTCAATTTCTCAGCCATGGCGGCGAACAGCTTCCTTGATGGGGACCTAAGCCTTTCCTTAGCAAACACGTCCTTCTTCTCCAGCATCAGCAAATCACTCAACCTTCCCAAGATCATGAGCATCTGCAGGGGTGACAAGGGCCGAGGGGTGCTATCTATTGGACAGTTGCCAGACGCCATAGCCAAGTCTGTGCAGTATGCGGCTATGTACAAGGGAGATGGGTATGTCATCAATTCTCCAGCCTGAGGCCAATTCAGCCATCATTTCCCCTAATATGTTCTCTAACGAAGACAACCACCACAACAACAGGGAAAGAATACTAAAACAATAATCATTGTCAATCATTAAAGATTAAATAATAATGGTTTACTAATGAATCAATAATAATAATGTCATGATAATAGCTTGTTATGGCCAACCTATAAGATCCTGCAGAGTCTTTGAAAAAAAAAAAAAAAAAAAAAAAGGCTTGTTATGGCTACGATCAAGGAACACATTATCAAGAAATGCATGTACATATCCCAGTCAGACGTCAGGTAGACAGACGGATTTCAGGACCATGACACAAAGGTTTCCAGACCGTGATACAGAGATTTTTTTTTTTTTTTGCGCGGGGGGGGGGGGGGGGGGGGGGGRGCAGCATGTGATGGGAACCAGGCCCAGCGTCCCATTCAAGATCATATTGAGAAATTGAGAAATTTATGGAAAAATCCTTGAGATACCGGGGCCATTACCCGGCTTCGGCTAAGAAAGACAACTGTGTACAAGAACACTAAAATTCTCTATCCCCCAAAGCTTGGATCAAAGGAGCATTCAGAATGAAAGAATCAACCCTACCTGCCTCACCCCTATATCCCGATGCCCAATCTCTACCAGGCCTCATGCCCCCAACTGCTAGGTTACAGGGTGGCACGACCCATCCCAGAAACCCCCCCACCTGCTAGGCCACAGGACAAAGCGACCTGCCCCGGCTCCGCCCAGCATCGGCTAGGCACCAGCTCACGAAAACACACTAGAGTGCCTTCCACCCTCAACAACTCCCCAGATCTCTCTACCAGGTCTCATGCCCTCATACCGCTTGAGTTACAGGGCAGCACAACCAAACCCCAGCACCGACCAGCGTCGTTCTGGCCTCGTCTATTCGCAAACCACCGGGACTGGACTAAGGCAAATACCAATCAAGCTACCAGCCAGCACCATAGTTGTAGACCCCATCATTCATCTTGCAAATATCCCCCAACAGAACTTTCTCAACCCTACTCTGACAAGTCTTATTATTTCGCCGTAGCCACCATCTTCACCGCTGTTGTACCCTATTCAACCCTACAGGCTAGCCCCTTCGCCGCAGAGTGCATCATCTCCCACCATCACAGCTCCACTACCCCCTGCCTTCAACTCCAAAACCTTGGAGGAATTTTTCAATTAGGAAAACAGAATTTAGAAATCAAAACGTGGTCAGTATGTTTAGCGCCTGCTATTCCCTCGGGAAGAAGGGAAACCCCATGGAAAGTCCAGCGCCTCTTAAGGTCTCAGTTACATGTGCAGGGGTCACAAGCACCACAGGGATTACTCCTCTACCCCAAAGACAACCCCCTGTCTGTTCACTGCCTCTGCGGGAAGACGCCCCGACACCTCCCCGCCCCAGTTCAGAACAGCCCCGAGAATACCCCTCCTGCTCCCCCAGTCGCATACAGTACCCCCTAAAGTATGCCCTCGCAGAGCCGAAGATCCCCCTACCTTCCTGCTCCACCCCCTCCAAGCGGAACAGCCCACTCAACGCTCACCATGCTGACATCAGCACCCCTTGTCCTCTCTCCCCAACCGCCATAGCTGATCCGACCCAAAATCAGCGTGGCCCAGAAAAGGACAAACCCTCAATACCGTCCCTACCCTCTCAAGGATCACACCACCCACCTTGTGTAACCCTCGCTGGGAGAGACTCCAACCCTAAAGGAGATTATTCATTCAACACCTATGACCCAGATCCCACAACACCACGAATTGAGACCCAATTATTAAAAACAACGAGACCAATTACTTGAGTAGTCACTATTTGAGACATCTCTGAAAAAGGAGTTTTAGGCATCTTTCTTCAGCGAAAGACCAACGTCATCATGTGAGAATTTCAAATTTGAGCAAAATCACGGGTTTCCATCTACAAAATCGAAATACGAATTTCAAATTTGAGAAAGTCGAGTGTAAGACGCATCAATCATAGAAAGCAAATCACGAATATCCATGTACAAGATCAGAGTAAGAATTTCAAGTTGAGCAAAATCACGAGATTTCAAATTTGAGAAAGTCAAGTGTAAGAATTTTCATGAGAATTTTTATGAGAAATTTTATGAGAATCTTTATGGAATTTTTATGAGAATTTTTATGAGAATTTTAATGAGTCATGCAAACGAAGTTCGGAACTAGTTTGAGCCACGATTAGGAATTAAGACCTTGATATTAGAATCAAATTTATGAAAATCAGTATGCAGAAGTTCAAACAAGAAATTCCAAGAAAACAAAAGTTGGAATATCAATCGTAACGAGTTTGATCACAGCAACAGTATGGGATCAATCAAGAATATACGCCATTCATAGACATAGTGAATAAGATCGCCTCAAAGGAAAAAAACTATGACTAAAACGTACAAAATTTCAGAGCAAACTTAGACGGACTTCCAACCAGGCAACCCCTCACAGTGCCCTAACGACACCAATATGATGCCCCATCCAGCACACCCCTTCCCCCTCAAAACCTCACCTCCCCCCCTTCATCGGTTCCTCGCAAGTTGACCTCATGCTGGCTAAACTTCACCATGTGTAGGGAAGGTCGAACGATGGAGATCATCAGACCGCAGCAGAACTCACCTTCTCCAGGAGATCATGCCGCGTTGTGAGACCAAACTATTGAGCCTGCCAATAGTCTCTCACAGGTAGTCTCGAGAGTATCAGGGACGTGCAACGCTATGCCACCTGTTGAAAAGCACGTAGATACGTCAACCCAATCTGAGGGAATCACCTAAGTTAGATCAACCCCAATCCGTCGCATGGCCCCTTGGAAAGCTTTTCCCACCGACACGAGCTGAGCAGTCGACTTCAAAGTTCGTATGGAGAAGAGAAGATGACCCCCACAAACAAACAACGCGAGCACTCCAACCCCTCCCATAAAAACGCCCGCCACCACCCACCATAGCCCTGCCGCTTCTCCCTCTCCGCCGCCTAGCCAGGCACCATGCAGACGCGCCACTTCGAACGGGGCATGTTTGGTAGGGCCGGGCGCTTCGTCTGTCCGTTATGGGCATTTTTTCAAGGTCATAGATCGTCAATCCGACTACCTATCATCTTCTTTCTTTTTTCCCGTCTTTTTCCCTTCTTTTTCCCTTCTTTTTCCAATGATAGATAGATCTGATGGTTGCAAAAATTTGCTCTATGACATTTTGATATGAAAATAGTTTACGAGACCCGGTCCGGAAGAAGTTTCAATTTTGTCAATTGGATCTTCAGAAGGTGAAGAAGTTGGGACATGGTTGGGTGATTATATTAAACCACCAGTACGTTTCCCAGCTATGTTCTGGGAGCTGCGGCTTGCATGCAGCCCCAACTTTGCGAGCCCCAACTTTCCGGGCTCGGCCACCAGAGCAAAATGGCTGGCGGCACCAGAAGCCAAAAGGAGGCCCCGCTGGTTTGCTTTTTTTTTTCCTGGCCTGCAGCGCATTTCCAGCCCCGGAGAAAAGTGCCTCAGAAGTACCGCCGCCGCCACCCGCAGTCTTAATGACCGGGCGTTCTCTTTGGGTGAAGATGGTAGGGGTGGGGCCCCTTATCACCACCACCCGTAGAATTCCACTGGCGTTTTCCAAAAAAAACAGAGCCAGGCAGAGAAGGGTGATGGTCACAGGCAGAAAGATGTGCGCTGTCAACTTCTCTGTCACAGGTACAACATACGGTCCTTATAAGTTATAGCGAGCTGTATTTAGACTACAAGATACCCCAAATACAGCTATCATAATGACCGTACGGCGTGGCGGACCTCGTTGTATTCAGGGGAAGAAGGAAGTACAACATTAGAGAGAACTGATGTGTACTTAGATGCACATGCAAGATTGGTTATGGGAATGTGATTGATCAATGAATCAGAGGCTGGATGCATTAGAAATGAGAAGGAAGGAGCAATCAGTATGAGCATAAGGACTAGCAATTCAAGATCATTCGGCTCCCACAATCAGGAGAAGAGGTTCAGTGCTCAGATACCATTGTGGAAATGTGTAACTAATAAGACGCTGGACCCGGTTTCCAGCAGGTGAAGCTCCCCACCAATAGATGGAGTGACATGCATAAGGTATACTAGTTGGGGAGATCTGTATCACCTCAACTAGTACTACCTGCACAGTCTTGTTTGAAAAAAAAAAAAAAAAAAAAAAAAAAAAGATGTATCATTGTTTGTAGAAAGCCAGAGGTATTTGGATATGGAAAAATCAAAGGCAAGAGAAGGATAAGTACTACACCAAAAGGAAATACAGGAAAGGAAAAGAGACGGAAAGTTTAACCTTTTGGGTGCCTGTCCATGGCTGACAAGACTGCATGCCTATAGACTGAAATGATGATCTCAGGGAAATGCAGCTGTAAAGAAGTCGCATTCATTACGAGGGAGGGTGAGTATGCGCTTAACACTCAAGTGAGTCATGTCATCTTGATCAGGAGACTACTATTATTATTTTCTCATGCCCTTAAAGGTCTGGGAGCCCATGGCTTCAGTGTTCTTTTTTCTTTAAGAAAACTACAGCGCAGTCAGGGTTACAGTTTGTAATTGCATTTCAAACTGTGTTTTAGCAGTTTAGTCAGGGCCCTAGTTTCAAATTCAGTTGAAACTCGGGATGACCTTTTTTAGCAGTTCAGTCAGGCACATGGCCCCTTTTTTTTTTCCGGTTTTTTTCTTTCTTTTCCCCACCCCCTCCCCGTCGCGTGGCGGGGCCACGGCTGAGATGTCTCGGCCACACCCGAGGGAAAAAAAAAACAAAAAAGCATCTGGTTGTGTGGCAGGGCCACGGCCGAGATGTCTTGGCCACGCATGAAGGGGGGGGCACGGGGGGGGAAAGGGGGGGGGAGGGAACCAAAAAAAAAAGGAAAAAGGGGCCATGTGCCTGACTGAACTGCTAAAAAGGCCAGCCCGAGTTTCAACTGCATTTGAAACTCCGGCCCTGACTAAAAAAACTGCTAAAACGCAGTTTGAACTTTGAAATGCAATTACAAACTGCTTTCATGACTGTGCCGTGGTTACCTCTTTTTTTTTTATTCTTTTTTTTTCTTTTCTTTTTTTTTTTAAACCAGAATGGCTTCAGTGTTCTTATGTACGCCTGAGAACATTGTCCACGTGCCTTTCACTGGCTCACTGGCTTCCAGGACCTCCAGGTGGTAAAGTTGGTACGCTGTCATGGTCTCAAATTAATGCAGAACAGGAAATGAAACATATCTGCATGTTTATCCTGCTACTCGTCATTTGCCTTACAGGAGATACTCAGCAACTGCCAACCACATACAATTTGGAAACACTGCCCAAGATGAGGAACTTGAGGTTGCATTCAGCACCAGCTTTGACACCAGTTTCATCCCCACAGATGGTTTTGATGCCTTTATAACTGAGGTAATCTCTCTCTCTCTCTCTCTCTCTCTCTCTCTCTCTCTCTCTCTCTCTCTCTCTCTCTCTCTCTCTCTCTTTCTTTTTTTTAAATTAAATAGATAGATATATAATATAACATACACACAATTGTGCTCGGTTCCTCTTGTTCTTGCTCTCCCTTCTGTTGCATGCGTGTGTGTCCGCATGCCAGTCTGGATGTGGGTATTCAGCTGGTTTAAATTTATGGTGATTGCATTTTATAACATGCATTTGTGTACGGTGGAGCCATACCGCTATACCAACAGTAGAACCTGCCATGCGTGAAGCTGCAGCTTCTGCATCCAACCATTGGAGTTAGGGCTTCAACTTATATATCTTTGTCTTGAGGTACCTAGGATCGCGCCAAGAACCGAGTTTCGATTTTCAATGGAAACAGGCTTTCGTAGTCTAGTCGCTGGCAGAATTTTACATGCAGTCTAGTCACATAGGTTTTGGAAAAATGCCAGCTCGGGCATGGCCGAGACATGGTGCCCAAGCCACGAATCCCAGCCAGATTCTTTTCCGTAGCCTTGTAGGCCCTGGCCCTCTTCACTTGCCGCGGGGAAAACTTCAGCGGTTCATGTATCAGATCGAGCGCCGCATGAAATTTTTCGCGCTGCAAGTGAAGAGGGCCAGGCCCCTTGGCCCCAGCCAACTCTGCAGCAACGTAGTTACTGTACGCAACCAAACTCAGCTGTCAACTACTGTCTTCTCACCCGAAGACAACGGACGGTCATTATTGCTGCATCTAGACTCGAAATTGCCTCAAATACAGCTATAATGACCGTACGTTGTATTCAGTTGACGACCGTAGACATCCAAAAGTTTAACCTGTTCCTAATAAAAAAAATGAAACTAGAAAGTATGACATGGCCCTAGTTATTTCTTTTTTGTGTTTTTTCCTTAAACAACATCTCAGTGTCTCTTCACCCTGATTGTGATGGAGGCCTTAGCGACAAACTTGCGAGCACACAAGAACATTCAGCAGATTAAAATTACGAGCGAGCACACTGGGATTGTGTCCTATGCCAGAGGACACAATGATCCCAGCGTGCTCGCTATTCGGGGACGACCTCACACTCATGGTTGACACCACGACAGAAAACATGCGGGAAATTCAGAATCTAATGGACAAATTTTGTGGCCTAATATCTGACATGAAAGTCAATTGGGGTAATAAGACGCTAGGGTGGTGGATCCACCATGATCATGGTTGCTGACCCCTTGAGATACCGCAGGTTAAGTGGCTTCAGGCCAATACCCCAAGAAGGGTGCTGGGGGTGAGGATGACAGGAGAAGGGTGATGGGAACCCAATGATGAATGATCCCAGTTGGGGTAATAAGACGCTAGGGTGGTGGATCCACCATGATCATGGTTGCTGACCCCTTGAGATACCGCAGGTTAAGTGGCTTCAGGCCAATACCCCAAGAAGGGTGCTGGGGGTGAGGATGACAGGAGAAGGGTGATGGGAACCCAATGATGAATGATCCCAGCTGGTCCTGGAGAAGTTGGCGCAGTGGAACGACAGGCGGACGGACCTCAATTATTGGGCGTTCGCTGGCCATCAGCAATGGCATTTTGGCTACGCGTTGGTATAGATCTGCCATCTGGGCACTGAGCAAGGAAGGCCTAGTATGCTCCGGCAGCACCAGGGAGCGGCTTTCCTATGGAGAGGGAACCATGATCATTGCTCCACGACAATTAGCAGAGTAACAGCGATTTCATTGAAATGGACATATTATGTTTTTTTAACAAAGTTGAAATCTCATTTTTTGGCAAATTGAGGGTACTAAGGCATTCTGAAAACACCCTACCCCCTCGATGTATTGGGACTTAGCTGAAGTCCATGTACATCCAGGCCGGAAAACGCTGGACCCCTTCGATGTATGTGGACTTAGACCAAGTCCAGATACATCATGGGGATAACTAAGGGTGTTTTCAGAACGCCGTACCCTCAATTTCATGAAAACTTTCCGAAAACATGAGATTCCAATGTCCAGTTTAACGTTATTTCTGTTGGTGGCATGGCTGTCAGTTATCCAGCAGAATCCCTTTTTTTTTCTTTTTTCTTTCTTTTTTTTCTTTTTTTAACAAAATCTGGATCGCGGCCTGGGGGCTGAGCGAATGCCTCAGATATTGCCGTAGGCCCAGGAAGGCACTAGAGAAAATGGTTTTCTCCATCCCCTTGGATTGGGTTCAAATTCTCAGAAAGGGTCCGTCCCTCAAGGAAGGGGATTAGGAGGTAACCATGGACAACAGGACATGGTTGGCAGCGTTGCAGACTCTCACCCAGGTGGGACAGTTCTGGGCCGAGGTCCCACTAGCAGAAAGGATAGGATCGAGCTCCTCAATCTGGATGTGTTTTATGCGGAGATGCAGAAAAGCAGTTCAATCTTTGCTAGTGGGACCACGCCCCTGGTGTCGCTTTTCTGGCAGCAGATCAACACCAGCCTCATTGGGATTGTCCCTGAAGAACTTCAATGTGAATGGATACATAGATCCGCTGCGCTACCGGGGGAGCAGCGCCGGCGCCAAGCAAGCTCTGGAGGAGCCCACGCGGCGAGCGGGAGACGTGGTAGTGTACCGATGCGTGTGCCAGGTGGAGCGCTGCTAGCGGGAGGTGCATTGCCAGGTGGAGTGCCGCTAGCGGGCGGTGTGCTGCCAGGTGGAATGCTGCTAGTGGGCGGTGCGCTGCCTGGTGCCAGGTGGAGCGCTGCTAGCGGGCGGTGCGCTGCCAGGTGGAGTGCCGCTAGCGGGTGGTGCGCTGCCAGGTGGAATGCTGCTAGTGGGCGGTGCRCTGCCTGGTGGAGTAGCGCTCGTGCGCGGCTGCGGAAAATGAGGGAGGTGACATCACAGAGACACGGACGTTGAGCGCTGCTACTCTACAAGGGGGATGGTGGCGTCTCTAGTTGACAGAGAGGAGGGAGAGGCGATGGTCTTCTGTTCTTTTTCGTTCTGATCTCCTGGCGTCACAGGCTGGCGCAGGTAGAGAGGGGGGGTTGGTGCTTATGCTTCGTGGCGCGAACCTTAAGGCGTTGGAAACCTCAGTGTGACTGAGGATACTTTGCTTCATGGGGTGGGACGTTCTCTTCGATTCTGGTCAGCTTTCAGTTTCAGTGTCCTGGTGGATTTGTCGTCGGCCTTCACTCGTACTGCGTTGCCAACGGCGGTAATCTTCATCATCATCATCATCGACATTTTTCATAATGTGGGGATAACGGCGGTAATTTTCATCATCAGTATCATCATCATCTTCATCGGCGATTGTAAGGGAAGGCATGTGCGGGCAATGTGACACTGTGAGGTGTTGCGTCATTATCAGCAGCAGCAGCAGCAGCATCAGGAGCCAGTAGTGGCATCAGCAATATCAAGGGTAATCATCAGTTGTCGTCATCACCATCATTATCGTCATCATCACCATCTTCAGTTTCATCATCATCATCATCATCATCGGCGGTTATCATCACCATCATCATCACAATCTTCATCATTATCATCATTATCATCATTATCATCATCATCATCATCATCATCATCATCATCAGTATGGAGGCTAGCAGCAGCAGCAGCTTTACTGACATCACCATCATTATGAGCATCTTCATTGGTGTGTCATCATCATCTTCATCATCATCATCATCATCATCATCATCATCATTATTATGAGCATCATCATTGGTGTCTTTATCATCATCATCAGCAGCAGCAGCATCATTCATCATCATTATCGACAGCATCAACATCATTATCATCATTATGATGATGATTATTATCATCATTATTAGTTTGTTATCATTAGATGTTGCTCTTCAAGGCATCGTTCGCCTTTCGCATTAGCAGGCGAGTGGGTCGTCATCATCATCCTCATTATCATTATCTTCAGGGTGTTGTCCTTCGTCATCAACAAAATCCAAGCGAATGACATTTTGGTGAGGGGGAGGGGGAGAGCCCAGCCCCGCAGGGGTTTCATTAGGCGGGTGGTGAAACCCTGGAGGGGGTACGGGCAGATTGTGAGGAATACTCTTTTTTGGGGCTGGGCATCAAATCCCAGCGGGGGCAGATTAGGGTAAAGGGATAGATAGGGGATTGGAGAGAATGGAGGAAGGAAGGGAGAGGGGGGATTTTTTCTGAATCATCTCATCATCAAAATCATCATCATCATCATCATCATCATCCATGTTATATCATGCTTTCTGGTGTGCTGTAATTCTCGGCTGTATCTGGCCTCCTTCCTTAATCGGGATATAGCATTTTAGAGATGGTC